TGGCTCCACTGGGGTATTTCATTCCCCAAGTCTTTCAGTCCCTCTCAATCAAGCATTACTGGATTAGGCAAGGTGAGAAATACAAAGTATACAAAAGAGAACTTTACTGTTTTGTTACAAACAAGACACATGGAGAATAGTTAAGAGTACAAAGGAGCAGAGTAGAGAAAGGAAGATTGATACAGTTCTAGATCAGACAGACCTGGGTTCAAATCTTTGCTGCCGTTTACAAACGGAGCGACCTTGCATAAGCCTCTGTCTTGCTTCGGCTTCCTCACCTGCAAAATGGGAGAATAACAGTTTGCTATAAGGACTTAGTGAGACAATACAAGTAAAGAAACGTACCTGACAGGCCAGTGGTTCTCCCATTGTGGATCCCAGATTGGCAGCATCAGCATCAGTGACACCCGGGAACTTGTTAGAAATGCACATTCTTGGGCCTCACCTCAGACCTGCTGTGTGAGACGCAATATGGGGCCAGCAGTTGTATTTACACAAGCCCTCCATGTGATTCTGATGTGCACACAAGGCTGAGAACACTGTGGTAGATGCACAATGAAATGTCTTTCCTAACGGCAGGAATACCAGGTGGCTTTACAGGGGGAGGCTCTGTGTCTCCAAGCAGGGAGATTCAACTGGGCTGGTAGGCTGGTCCAGAGGAAGTAGGACTGGTCTGGTGAGGGAAGGAATGGGAGAAGCTCTTCTGCAGGGGGTGGGAGATGGGGGGAACCACTGTCTCCCTTACCCTACCCACCATCCACCCCACCCCTGCCATTTACCTCTCTCAGGTTTCTCAGTCCCCAAATCAGAGCAGATCATGTGTCCGGATGCAGAAACTGAGCCCGGAGCCCAGAACCTCCGGAGACTGAGGAAAGTGCCCTCCAGGAGACCCCTGCCCAGATGAGGCCTAACTCTGAGGCCCTGTCCTTGCCCAGCAGCCCTCAAAACTCTGAGAATCTGCTCACAGGAAAGTTGTGCTCTGGGTTCCTCCACCAACCTCACAGTCCACCTCTGGGAAGAGAGGGGCCATTGAAGCCCCCAACCACTTCCTCAGGTCTTCAGTTGAGAGGGAGCTTAGCCTCTGCTCTCCCACCTCCGTCTCCTCTCCTTCCTTCTCCCCCACGCTACTCTCACCTTAGTGTCCCCTCCCCCAAGAGGCTGGGAGCAAAGAAAGAGGAGGAGGAGAAGGCAGGATAGACCCCACACTCCCTCCTACTCTGGCACCCCTTGACCGCTCAGCTGTCACAGCTGACCTGTTCCCACCTCCTCTACCAGGGTGGCCCATTTTCACCCACCAGGCCCATTTCTTGCCTGGAATGTAAAACCTCTCCCAGCACGGCCTGGGTAAGAGGCCTTTTCCCTGCCCTGAATGTAGGCAACACTTCAGCCAAGGAACCCACCTGACCCCATTCCTATACTTCCACACGGGTGACAGGCCCTGCTCCTGCAGCGAGTGTGGCCACAGCTCAGGCCAGAGCTCATACCTGACTGAGCCCCTCTCACTGCATCTGGTGTGACAAGGGCTTCTCCCCAGAGCTCCAGCCTGCTGCAGCACACCGCTGTACATGCAAGCAAGCAGCCTTATATCTAGGTACCCCCCCAGCCACATCCACCGCGAGAAGGTTCGCTTAAGGAGTGCCCCTTCCCCTGCTCCCAATGTGGCAAGCGCGTCACTCAGAATGCCAGCCTGGGCTGGTACACAGGGGAGAATGCCCCACCTGTGCAGTAAGAATGGCCGTGGCTTCAGCCAGCACTCCTGACTCATGGTCCACCACTCAGTTCCCTACTGTCCCTGCTAGGCCACACCTGTTAGGACCCTGGTCTTCTCTTCCCCCAGGCGCTGGCTGTGGCCCACTATTGTGTGGCCCAGTGCGCAGTGAGAAGTTGGTTCTCTGACTCAGTGTGGTGAGGGTGCTGGCCACCACTCCAGCCTGCAACACCAGCAGCAGGACTGTGATGGGAAGCGACCCCTCCAATGTGGCAAGGACTTGGGGCAGAGCTCGGAGCTGGTGTAGCAGCAGCAAGAGTGCAGGGGCAAGACTACAGGTGGCTTCTGGTCCAGCTCCAGCCTGGCACAGCACCGCAGGACCGCACTGTGGACAGGCCTTCTCACTCAGGCCTCTGTGACTGTGGCTTCACTCAGAACACCCATCTGCCGCAACACCACGCCTCACACAGTGGGGAGGACAGGAATGGACACAGTGAGGAAGGAGGAGGCTCAGAGCCCCCGTGGCAGTACTGCCACCCCCAACCCGGCAGCATGCTAAGGAGGCAGAAGGACAGCCTTGGTGAGCTACAAAGAACAGCTCCAACCCTGTCCCAGCCAGAGTGACTTTCAGAGCAACCACATGAGGTGACCAACTCTCACCTGCTCCTACTTAAAGCTAGAACAGCTGGGTTCACCTCACTCTAGACCAAAGTGCCGAACTCTGAGGGAGCTCCCAAGCTCCTGTTTCTTAGAACAGAATCCATACTTTTCAGAGAAAGAAAAAGAAAAAGAAAGAAAAGAAGAGAAAATATTCACATCTCCTGTCCTCCAACTGAAAAATGTAACCAGGATGTCTCAGATCTGCTGGTGTCTTCAATGGATCAGATTCCCAGGGATTTTCCTGAAGAAGTCATTTTTTTAAATTATTATTATTTTTGAGTTGGAGTCTCCCTCCGTCGCCCAAGCTGGAGTGCAGTGGCATACTCATGGCCACCCCAGCATCACTCTGCTGGCCTCCCGTGATCCTTTCGCCTCAGCCTTCCAAGTAGCTGGAACTACAGGCTCGCACTACCATGCCCGGCTGATTTTTTATTTATTGTAGAGACAAGGTCTTGCCAAGTTGCCCCGGGATTGTCACAAACAGGAGTCATTTTAAAGAGATAACTTAATCCCCAAATATCTCCACGACAACCCCCACCATTAAAGCCTAGTCCCCCCACTAATCCCACCAACCTCATTACCCATTACTTCCCTCAGAGGCTGCTGGGTTCTTCTTGCCTCAGGTACTAGGCTACACCCAGTACCCGATCAGATGGTGCCATCTGCCTGTGCCCACTCCTGGCCTCACCAGGCCCTGTTCTCAGGGCTGTCTAAAACCCTTGCTGCACTTAACTCTAAGAGCAAAGCCCAATGCCAGGTGTGGTGGCTCATGCCTAAAATCCCAGCACTTTGCACGGCCAAGGTGAGAGGATTTCCTGAGCTCACAGGTTCGAGACCAGC